GATAAACATGGCCCAAGAGCCCTAAAAGTGAACTCCTGACGATTGAAAAAAAGACAACTGTAAAAGAGACAACTATTCACTGACGGCAATGAAATTATGCTCTCGGAAATATCTCTTGCAGTACAGTGTTTTCATTGATAAGTCTGAAAACAGCTATTAGCACTACAGCTTACCACAATATCGCTGCCGATCAGATTCACTCAGGACCAGGGTCGGAGCCTGTGCAGCCGTACCGGGCGGTAGCACTTAGGGAAGACAATTTTTTTAGAATTTAGGGAGGCACTGGGTGGCAGAAGTTAAGACAGCAAAGACTGCACCGTGCGGCAAAGAACCTACCATTGGCCCTGCGTACACTCCTTCATTGATGCTATTTCACCAGATGCTAATGTTAACTTTCAAGAGAACGATAGTCACCGTGCATAATTGATCTCATATTGGCTGAAGAGCATATTTCGGAACATAATAGTTTCCGTGCCAACTCAATTCTTTGGTTTCAATCCCATAAGCACTTTCAGAAACAAAATTGAAACATAATTTCGAAACTTGCTGACAAGAGTTTTTAATTGTTGATCAGGTTTATGCGCGTTGTCAAATGGTTGTAACTGTCGTCCTAACACGCCTCATGCATACATATCACTTTTGGGAAAAAAACTGAAGATCTGGCAAGCAAAAGGGAGGTTGTAATATTAAACAGACATTCCTTGGAGGCGTTGGCCGCATGCAGCTGGCTATTATCTTGCTCAAGGATGATCGCTGACGAATGCCATAGTTTTGGCAATACAGAAGTTGGCAGGATCTTGTCCATAAATCATTGGGCTCTTAAAGTGCTGCGAAAGATCAGTAAAAATTTGGTTATTATAGAATTTGGCTGCCTAGATAATAATGCCAGTATATACAGAGGCTATGGTTGTTTTACGTTGACAAAGGGTACACAGCTCACTGGGACTTCTATGCTGAATTAAGGTAAGCCAATCTTCTTTCACGTATGAATCCCAAGCTAACGAAAATCATAATTCATCGCAGAACATGATCCAGTTCTAACCCGATACATTCGAAAATTATCAGCCGCAACACCAGAATAAACGTTGCTCTCAATGCCCCCTCTCCGGGGATCTACGTCGGAAAATCGGGAAGCTACTGTCTAAGATCTATACATAGGCAGTTTTCGGCCACGTATAATCAGTCTTTACAGGACTAGAACATACGTTCATTCAGAGGATGGTTCAGGACCATATGGCCCCATTCAGGACCTGCAGGGACCATATGGCACTGTCTTGTCTGCCTATTCACTGTAGGTAGCAACATGGTTAGATATGAGGCGTTTTCATTGGGTCATTGGCTCTTCGGTCCTCTGGTGCACTTAGTAGATGGAACAACACATCAAATATAATCATTGAAACCAGGACTGGTACCCAGCTGGAACTTTTATTGACTGAGCGTTATCTTTCGTCCAATGTTATATATATAAAGCCCGTAGGAACCCGCGGGAGTTACGTCCGCCTGAATGGTCTCCTGCAGATCTGAGGATTTTTTCTGAAAGTTAATCCAGGGCAGGAGTTCGTCTCCAGTGTTCTGTTCTGCTCTCCATGCCTAGGAGTTATGGATATTGCAACAGACGCCGAAAATTCAAACCACCTTTCCTTACAACACTGTTTTTTAAAACTACACGTCTAGAGTATGTAGGTAAGTGATGCTGAATGGTAGAAGCTTTCAACTAATTTGCAGTAACTCTTGCTATCCCACGATCCTTCCCAGAAACTGCCATTCTAGCTCTGCGTCTGTCCTTTTGGTGATTCTGAATGCCTTATTGTAATACTTAGTAACAATACAGTTCTAACTGTATTACACTCTTGTCAGAATTCTGGTTCTCAGGTCAGACGATGCATCAGTAAGATCAGTCCGTTCCCATGAAAGTGGTAATGCAGTCACTGTCGAATTTATTCATTTGGATTATATTGAGTATTCGGATACATTCTCATTAGCTAATGCAAACAAAACTGTGAAATAAGTAGTCAAAGTTATAGAACGTTGACACGTTAGTCGATATGCTTAACTGAATAAACCTTGCTCAGGCAGTTTTAAGTAAGACAAGAGAAGGCTTATATAAGCACACTGCTTTTTTCGGGAAATGAGCTTGTCCTCACCTACACTGCTGGCCATTAAAATTGCAACACCAGGAAGGAATGATGTGACGAACGGTAAAAGCACGTGAAAGGAAGAAGAGATTTGGTATGCAAATGGATTAGAATTTAAGCGCATGCAGGAGGGAGAAAAGACATCTGACGTATTGCATAAAAAAAGTTGTATAGTGGATTTCTCATTCGGAAACGCGCTTTGTACGGCCAGAGTTTTCTCAGAATATCGTGTTATGCCTCAAATATTAAGACGAAATTCTTACCAGCAAGAGTCGGAATATCGGTAGAGGCAGGATTGTTTCCCATAGAGAGTGTGGATTATCGTTCCGCGATATCGCCCGTCGCACTGCTCGACATCCAATCACTGTCATGCGAATATATAATCAATGGGTTGCTGAGGGTCATACTGAACGGCATGCAGGATCTCAACGCCGTCTCCTGACTAACGCTCGAGAGGACAGACATATTGTGAGGTTAGCCTTGAAAAAAACCGCACAAACACATAACGAACCATTAGTTAGGAAATGGGTATGTTTGCAGTACGCCGAGTATCCGCTCGTACGGTGCTTCGACATTTGCAGCAGAGCAGTGCTTAAATTGCACCGGAGCCCAGCTCTGGTACTTCTCAATTTTTCAAGATAAATTACAATTCTAGCCGGAGTGCACCGGAGCCCTAAATAAGAAGGCTGCGGCAATTCTTTTATGTAACTGAATAACAATTTCCGTAGAAATTTTAACTCGAAAATTTTATTTTTAGCAATAAAATTATATTAAAAATCGCTTATGACATTTTAATTTGTTCGCTTTACAATTATTTTAGTTTTAATTATTTCAATAAATAATAATTAATTATCTAATAATTATCAATTAAATTATAATGAATTATATAATAATTGTTAATTGAATAAAATCTATAAACTTTAATTAAATAGCTATTAATTAATTTGATTATAATTAACTGTTTAATTTTAAAATTATTAATGAGTTTAATAGTCATTTAATTTATTTATTTACTTTTATTGCTCTTTGCTGGCGGTCTTCCATAGGGCTCCGGCACTTATAATTTTAAAATTTAAGCCCTGCAGCGGAGTGAACTATCAACACGATGACCGCTACTTTGGCTTCCCTTGAAAATGCAGCATAGAGAGAGACAGTGATTCTGGTGCACCAAACGACAAAGCTGGATAAAAGAATGTCACAATGTTGTCTTTTCAGACATGTCCCTGTTCAGCGTGTGATATTCTGATGGCCGTATATGTGTCTGGAGGCAGCGAGGAGACTGCACGTCGTATGCCATACAGTTTACTTTTTGCAATAAATATCTTTTTTGTATTTGCTTTTCTTCACAGTGTTGCTATTTTAATGGCCAACAGTGTACTACTGAAGTGTTCCTAACCTGAAACATGTTTCGTTGAAAACTGCGTCTCGCCTAGCTAGCGAGATAATTTTATACTTAAACGAAAATGTTTCGTTTGAAGCACTGTTTCTCGTTTGATTTCTCCAAAGAACCGGTTTTCGCATATAAGTCAACTGATCAAACAAAGATTATATATTCGACGTTGTATGCATAGACGTTCTTTCTGCACCTTCCCACGCATTGACTGTATTCTCAAATTGCACATTAATTCTTCTAACACTACATTTCCTGAATGTTTACGCCAGCCCAGAAATTTTTACGAGTCATTCATTTTAAGTAATATAGTCTGCTTCTTATTCGATCTATTATTTTTCTTCCAGTCTTTTTTAAATTGCTAATTCTTCATCGATTTAATACATAGCACTGTTGATTTATGTTATAGTGAATGAACTTCATTGCGTTTTTCTGTGATTACATTTCGCTTATTTTGTGACATTGCATCCCCTTTTTTTTACCAGAAACAATGAACTGTTTGTGTTTTCTGAAATATTAATGCTAGATAATTCATTGCTATGCAGCAACTTGATCAATATGGTTCAGAAGAACCGACTCACTTGTGCCAAGATTCGAACTTCAAATAAGCTATTTTTTACTGTTATGCTTAAGCACATTAAGGACACTTGAAATCTGTCAGTCCAAAAGTGCTCTGATGTGGATGATAGAAAGGAAACAAAAGGTGTAAACCACAGGAATCTGTCTTTTCGGGTTTTATGTATCGAATCTAAGAAATAATTACCTATACTGCTGCAACATAAACACCACAAGTAACAGGTATAAAGTTGCACTATTATGAATTATTCAAGATCTTTCCGCATGTAAAGACTCAGAATAAGTTAACACCACACTTATTGATATGTATAATATAAGCAAATGATAATCTCCTTTTCATCGAGTTAGAATGTCATACAATAAACAGTCCATGTTTAAAAGCATCTAGCTAATTTCCTGGTCTTAATCCCATATCAAGTAGAGTTTAACCTGACTTACGCAACTTGAAGTTACATGTTTTTTTAAATCATTTTTTAAACTCCAATATATGCATACAACCAATGATTGCATAAGAACTCTGATGGACAAGTGGTATAAGCAATGTACTAACTTACATTTCACAAAAATTTAGACCAGGTTTTATGACAGCAATGTAACTAAGAATGCTTTAGATGTATGGAAAAAATTTAATGTTGTAAAGGGCAAAATTATTTTGTTTCCCAGTTGCTTAATGATTTCACTCCTATAGACACATATGCCAGTATTGGGCTCAAACACTACTCCTGCATATACATGCAGGAGTAATGTCTACATGAGAGTGGAGTAGGTCAAACACTACTCCTGCATGTATATTTAGTTTATTAAATGAAAACTTTAGTTATTCTTCCCTTTTTTAAGTGTATTATGTAAATATAAATAAATATATATATATTCAGAAACAGGTTTGAAACATATTCACATAGATATTAGATTTTTTTATATGTACATATACAGTATTCTTTATTAGTTCAAAACTGAACTTCACAATATCATCTTCTAAGACACAGGTTCCCAAACTTTTCCATGTCTAGCAGTTCTAAAAAATTATATTCTTGCAGCCCCTAACAAAGTTTCTAGGGAGGGTGAGGAAAAAGAAAACAGTTATGTAATCAAATTTTAATAAATAACAAAAATAAAACATGGAACTAAAAAAAAAATATTACAAAATTTAATATTTGCATAAATTTTTCAAAACAATAATTAATAACTATTTCTATTCCTCTGTATTGGATATTTTTTTCAAATTGTGGCACTTTATTGTTAATAGCAATTCGCATATCTGCTTGAGCATCCAAGCGATTTCTGAATTTTGTTTTGATTGACAAAAGAGCATACTTCACAAAGAATTCCTTCACATGCAGAAAGGCATCTTTTTCTTTTGTGATTGTTTTCATGTCTTCACAGAACAAGACATCTTCCATTATAGCAACACTATGCTGTAGCACCCAGACAGGATAGTAGTTAATGACGCTGCCTATCATACCAAAAGGTTCGAGTTCAAATCCCAAAGAAGGCATGGATGTTGTAATGTAAGTGTGTAATGGTTGTTTAGCAAGGAGCACTAAAAGCAGAAGGTGAGGCAAAATCCTTGAGAGGTTGGTGGTAGGAGACTTTCTGACCACATTCAGAGCATTCTTCTTCAAAATTCCATTTTGGTGGAAGCTTAGTACTTAGCAAGGCCCAGCAATACTTAGCAAGTACTTAGCAAGGCCCAGCAAAGTACCCACTTAGATATACAGGTGCTGGTTTTCCTTCAATCTGTCAGGTACTAAAACAAGCTTATTTTTGTTGCCCATCAGTTATTATGAAGGGACAAACAAACATAAGCTTGATTTAGGTAATTCTGATTATAGATGCTAAAATATACATTATGAACATAAACTCTTTAGAACAAAACAATTTCAATAAATATCTATTTGATTTGAATATATTCAAACATCATATATACTAATATTTTCAGATTTTTTTACCATACAATGTTTACAAGAGAAGGATTCGGGAGACAATTACAAATTATTATTATTTTACAAATCTCTGAAAGCTTTTTATCAGTTTCAAAATTATTTGAATGAAACTATTTTGAATTTACTTAAAAAGTCATATTTTCATCCTTTAACTGAGATGCTCACACGTATGTATTCTGACTCAACACAAATTCAAACATTAAAATAAAAAATAACACCAGAAACATATATTATAAAATTTAATTCAATCTAATACATTATTACTAGATGTAAATTAAAGAGTATAAAATTCTAAAATACATATGCAAAATCTGATGTGCACATCACATTACTTATTAAATTATACAAAAACTGCAGATTTTGAAATTTAAAACACTGCTCAGTCTTTGTCACATGGGAGTCAAACTTCTCATAATTTCATTTTTTATAATGAGTATAAAAATGTCCCAGATATTTTTGCAGACATAAGGAAGCTGGAGATCGCATTAAAATAGATTTCGTTATTTGTCAAAATAATTTTTTAAAAAAAAGTTTTACATTGATAAAACACAACTATTTTCATCATTTAAAGCATTTCAATGATAATTGGGAGTATAGACTAGGGCCAATGATTGTGAAAATTAAGGCTAGGTAAAGGTGTGTGTGTGTGTATATTTGGTTCTGGCAATTACAATAAAAAGAGAGATGCACAACTATAGCAGTCCCATATACAACAAACATTCTACGGCTAATCTTTTTTAGTTATGTGAGATAAATACATATGTATGTACAGACATCATTGAAAAAATTCCTTTTGGAAAAGAAGTCGTTTATTCTGTGCGTATATACAGATGTTATGCAAAATTATGCATGACTGTTTGCCAGGAAATGCTCCAACGGTTGAATGTTGATCTGAACCTTCTGGAGAAAAAGGTGACTGGTGATGAGACCTGGGTCTACGAGTACGATCCTGAGTCGAAGTATCAAAGCTCAAAATAACACACTGCTTCCTCTCCGAAGCCCAAGAAAGCTCGCATGAGCAAGTCGCGTGTGAAGTGCATGCTGATTGCTTTTTTAATTGTCAAGGAGTGATTCACAAGGGTTTGTTGCTTGTGGACAGACTGTCACAGGTGACTTTTATGTTGGAGTGCTCCGCCGCTTGAGGGATCGAGTCCGCCCGGCGTCTGGATTCTGCACCACGACAATGCACCCGCCGACGTTTGAGTCAAGTTCAATGTGATAACACTGACGCAGCCACCCTACAGTCCCGACTTGGCTCCAAGTGACTTTTTCCTCTTTTCCCGAATCAAGACAGTCCTAAAAGGAAAGCGATTCGACCCCATCCAACAGGCTTCGACGAGAGCCCTTGACAGCATGACACTCGAGGCCTTCCAGAAGGGCTACGAACAGTGGAAGGCACGCTGTGTTGATGCTGAAGTATTATATTTTGAAGAATTTTAGTCCGCTGTATTTAAATGTCCAATAAATTTCTATTTCAAGGTAAGTCTTTAAACTTTTGATTCACACCCTGTATAATGATTGCATTACATTAAGATATATATATATTTCTTACTTTGACCTAAGTGGGTCATCAGCAGAAAACTGAATATTGAACTGAGCTGCCCAATATTCAGCTGGGATCAATCCATTAAAATGGATTCCCATATGCCAGCTCTAACAACATTTTTCAGTCCCTTTTTCTGAAAATGTGTTTGGTTACTTGATAAAAGCTCTAATTTATTGTCCTTGGAAAGTTAGAAACAATATCTCACCTAAACTGACAACACTGTTCTATATTTTGAGTGAAACGTTTTCGCCCTACGTGAATCCAACCATTAGGATCTGGAGGAGCAGATTTCCTGAAAGGTGGAGGAAACATATCTTGTTTTGCACAACCATTGCACAAAAAGAAATTTACCAATTCTTTAATAATTCATGAAATCTCAAAATTACTAAAAAGAAATAACTGTTATGAAAAATGGATGCCGCATAGGGTACAAATGATTACGATTCACCACTAATGAATTATCATTTACCTCAAGAAAGAAGACAATTCAGAATTTTCCTTTAGGTTCTTTTGAGTAACAGCTACAGATGAACATTGGTGAAATTCTCTGTTAAAAAAAATTTATATGAAATGAAGAATAATAATTTAATGAAATGTACACGACTTGCAAAAATATAAATAATAATGTTTGATTAAGCATACAAGAATTTATGATTTACCTTGGATCCGTTTCATAGTTCAAAGATGCTACATGCTTTGGTGAAACCAGGCAAGGCTTCCTATGGGAGATAGAAGCATTATGCTTATGAGTAATTTCATATCCACATCCTAAGAAATTAATCTTGATAAAAGCTCTAATTTATTGTCCTTGGAAAGTTAGAAACAATATCTCACCTCAACTGACAACACTGTTCTATATTTTGTGTGAAACGTTTTCGGCCATGAATCCAACCATTAGGATCTGGATGAGCAGATTTCCTGAAAGGTGGAGGAAACATCTTGTTTACCGTTGCACAAAAAGAAATTTACCAATTCTTTAATAATTCATGAAATCTCAAAATTACTAAAAAGGAATAACTGTTATGAAAAA